TGCGACGAGGAACCCAGATCGGGTTCCTCCCTCTGGGTTCGTGAACCCAGAGCAAAATTTTTTATTTTTTTTAATTTTTTATTTAAGTAAACCACGTCATCAAAAAAACATCCACGTTGAATTACTAATGGCATATATTGGCCACGTCAATTTTTGAGTGCCACGTAATACATTTTGTAACGGTACCGTGACGTCGCGTTAAAATGTTGGGTTTTTTACGGGTTTTAAAAAGTTAAGGGTGTGAATAGGGAGGAAAAATTCTGGAAGGTGTTGACCGTGGAAAACAATTAAGTGTAGGGTGCAAATAGGGGCTTTGGCCAAAAAAAAAATCATAGATCCCAATGATATTGTTTAATAACCATTGATGGTGGGAGATTTAGCAACACATTTTTGTAATTTTGTAATTTGCTATACATTTTATAATTATTGATAAAAAAAGAATTGCCTCAATATTAATGAGTACACCCCTTGTAAATCGTTATAAAATTATTTAATCTAAAATTAGAATATTGAATATTGAATATTGAATGGAATAATTGTGTTTAATAACAGAATATTGGTCAGAAATAATTAGAGAAAAATAAATAACTAGAATAATTATTAAAAACAATTAAAAAACTTATTAAAAACAAATAAGAAAAACAATAATAACTTTTTTATAAATAAAAAAATTAATTATTTAAATAACATGTAAAATTATACAAAAAAATAATTTAAAAAATTATTATTTTTTATCTATTGAACAAATCAAATCTCAAATCCCTTGTCACGTAGACATGAGATAACTATATTTGGCCACACGAGGCAGTCCTCAAATGGCAATTAACGGTAGTTAACAGCAGTTAAGTTGCTGTGCTAGTAAGGGCTAAATTGCTTTTATGGTAGAGTTTAGGGGCTTATATGCATCAATTAAAGTTTAGGGGTTTAATAGCGATTCTGGGGTTAGTTCAGGGGCTTAACTATGGTTTTGCCAAAAAAAAAACCGATCGTTTAAATAGGTTTCTTTTTTATTTTAGAATTCTAGCCCAAAACCAACGATCCGTCGGCTGAGTGTAAGCTGAATTATTTAAATAAAATTTTGAATTTGGATCTTATAAGCGAAGAAATAGTATTAAAAGATTTTTTTTAATGAAAGTTGATATAATTTGATTCTAAATTAATTAAAATTTAATATGATTATCAAATATTGAGAGATTAATAAAAAAAAATTTAACCTAAAATATTTATTAGTAAAATAATTTTATATAATAAATAACATTTTAAATTTAAATTTTTTAAATAAAAAATAAATATAAAAAGAATTTTTGAGTTTACACAACTTTATTTTGAATTAATTAAAATTTAATATAATTTGATTTATAAATATTAAAAAATAAATTTTATATTACTTAATATTTATTTTTTTATTTTTTTATATAAATTAATATATAATTAATGATAAAAATATATAATAAATATACTTTAATCTTATACCTTAAGTACAAAATAAAAAAATCCTAAAAAGAAATGTACACACAAACTTATAAGTGAGCTTTCTTAATCCGTGATCCTCGCTGTCTCTTATCATACAATTATGAATGTTATTAATTTACAGACCCAATTTGGGATCCAATGTTCATTGGAACTTTGGCTCTGCAAATTGCATGGACACAAGGCAAGGAGGAAATGGGTCAATGCTACAGCCACCATATCTTGGGTAGGTAACAGTACATGCCTTCACATGTGCAAAAGCCTTCTCATTTAGGGCAGTTTGCGTTTGCTTTAATGGAGGAGGAACATGGGGCCGTAAAAATTACACGAAAATGGGACCATTTTCCTAAGACATTGATTATGTGCTGTCGAGAGAGATACCATAGGATATACGGTCCACCCCACCATATTTGGTTACTAGTCATGTGTATAAGTTGATAGGAGATCTTCTAAGCATGAAATGTTAGTTTTATGTCCAATTCCATGGGTTCACATGAATCCGTTTAGCCTAGTTAGAGCTTTTATGGAAGCGACGTGTGAGTATAGTTTTTCAAAATGCAAATGACTTGTCTTAAAGATTTAGGTAGACCATTTCTTTCTTCTTCTTTAAAAAAAATTAAATTAAATTATCTAATAAAAAATAATTTTTTATTTATTTTATTTATTTTGCATACATATTGTATAACTCAAATTTAAAACTTATTATTTTTGCTTAAAAGAGATTAGTCATTTAAGTTGTTTGCACCATATGTTAATTAGAATTAAAAAAAAGAACCAGAGTGTCGAGTGCGAGGGAGTGGGAGGACTCAAATATTAATTTAAATCTTCAACAAAACCTTTATTTGAATCTCTCTTCAAGAGTTAGAATATTTTTATCAATTAATAATTAAATG